ACATTGCAACATTATGCACTTGCTGCCCCTAGGTGGGGCGCAACCGGAAAGGGATACAAGGATTGCAAACAAAGGAAACTTCTACCAGGCGTGGCACCACTCCCTGGCAGGAGGCATCAATAAGGCTAGCCCCGCCACCGATAAAGGCTAAAAAGAAAAATCCTCCATGGTCAGGAGATGTTTGTGGGTCAGCGCTGGCATTTTGGGGGAAAGTCAATCAAAGGAAAAAGTCAACTTGAATGCTGAAAAGATATTGCAGTTTTCCGTTGCCAAACAACGGAAACGGAAGTGCAGAAACCAGAAGCAGACGCACACAAACAAACAGAAAATCGATATTTGTTTGTCTCTTGTGTGCAGACACACACACACACACACACACACACACACAGGCAGAGGCAGAGGAGGATGCTTCGATGTATGCAAATGGCCCCATCGTTAGATTTGCATTTGGCCAGGCAATGGACTCACATGCGGCTCCTGGCAGGAGTGCGAGTAAAAGTAGATTTAGATAAATTCACTTGCACAATTGACACTATAAACCGATTGTGGTCGAAATGACTGCCCACAGAATCCTGCCACCAGGAGCCGCCGGAGGAGGATGGATAAAGTTTCAGCAAAAACCGAGCAATCCTTTGTAATTGAAATTGTGTGTCATGCAAATATTGAACCAAAATGGCTGCTCCTGAAGCTCCTCTGTGGAGCCGCAATCATAATCAGTGCCAGATCTGGGTCTAATTAACTACCCCCCCCCCCCCCCCCCCCCCCCCCCCCCAAAAAAACAACAAATACTCGTTCATTTTTTTTTTTTTTATTACAAAATAATTTTAATATAAAAATATATAAACAAACAATGCTAATTTGTGGTCGAGTTGCCTGTGTCCACGGGCATATTAATTGTCAGAGTCAGGGCTACGCATATCCTTTTCTTGGCAGTGCACCAGTAGGCAGGCAGGACCCTCGCCCTGCTGCACACGCCATGAAGCCCAGAGTGAAAGTGCCGCCCCCTGCTAACTGAAAGATTCCTGGGGAATGTCGTGCAAGGGCGAAAATTTAATCAAACAACCCTTTCGGGGGTGCTGGCATAGAGAAATCAAATTGCGAAAATTCGCAAATTGCGCCAAGCGAAAGTTTTCATATCAAGGACAGGCCCAGGCCCAATAATGGAAATGGCCGAACATTTCGGGGTATTCTCCGGCATTCCATAGACGGCAGCAGGAATGCAGACCCCCCACTGAGCAGGCACAAAGGTCCTTCACTCACATGCCTTTAAATACACTCCTCATATTACAATACTTCACTGAACGCAATCAAATTGAAGGAAGGAAGTCCAGGGCCAGACCTTAGCGGCTTTTGGATACGCTCCGCAATACAGCAAGGTTTTCGCGGACATTTCTGAAACTCTTTTATCGAAACAAAAGAAGGTTTGTCTCATGGTATGGCTTCAATGCCACGAAATACCCTTTGGCCAGGCACAAAATGAAACAAATTCTCTGCCGGATACACATGCAGAGTGTTCGTGGGTGCGGATAAAATCTCTCTCTCCCCGCCAGCCCGCCTGTTTGGGCCGCAACATAAAAACGTCGAAAACATTGCAAACATTAACGGAAAAACAATTTTCATAAATCTAGAATTATTACCCTGGAACGGAACACAAGCACAAGCAGCACCAAACAACACAACAACAACAACAACAACAACAAATAACAGCGGGAGGAAGCAAGGAAGCGAGGAAGCAAGGAAGCGAGGAAGCGGAAGCTGCCAGTCCGAGTACGCAGTGGTGTCCATTGAGGCAACAAATTTGCCAAAAAGGAAATAAAATCCCAGCCAACATATGGAGTACGGAGGAGGCATGGCTGCTCCAGGAATGTTTGCGCTGCAGAGCAGTGACCTGAGCCCGCCCCGCGCCGACTCGCGAAAAGTTTCTTTGGCAAACATATTTGCAAACGCATTTAACATACGAACAGCACGAATATTACTTCATATTTTACGCCTATGTTGTGTGGGGATGTCAGAGCTCCACACACTTACCCCAAATCAATGGGTATCCCTTAGTTTATATTGTTTCAGTGGAAGTCGGCGAGGTGCTTATGTAATTGTGAAGCGCTTGGCAAACAAGCCGCTGCCATAAATCACATAATTCACGCTCTGTGGCACGAGGCAAGAAAAGAAGCGATAGAAGAGCTCTTCTTTAGCTTCCGTTTCAGTGTTCTAATTCAATTTTTGCAATCGCTTTGAAGTCCACTCAAATTTCAATAATTCTCCATTTCCATCGACATGCAAGCGCAAACAAATTATGGCCAAAAAAAATGAGAAGAAGGAGCTGGAACCGGATCGAGTGGCAAGCTGAAGAGTGAGGAGTGAGGCAGGGACAAGCTGAAGACATCAACTGTCGCTGGAAAAGCTGTTATTAAGCCATTTATAGTAAAGGCAAACAAAGCGAGCCAAGGAGCGAGTCGGACGGAGCGACACTCGAATGCTCAAGTGCTTATAGACACACTTTTCAATGGCTTATCAAAATCTTAAGCTGACGACAATGGCAGGCTCCGGCAACAAAGGAAAGCCATTCTGTCACTCCAGCGGATACACCCACGCACACACACACACACACATGGCCACATCAGCGAACGGCGAGACAATTTATAAAATTAAAAGTCCCCCCGGAATCGAGTCAACCAAAAAAAGTAAAACGAAAATGCAATGGCAAAGGCAAAGGCAAAGGCAACTTCTTCCCCGTTCACTCGCCCGGAAGGCCGCTCGATAAGTCCGCCCATCCCTTCGGAACGAAGTCCTCACTGCATTTGGCATATGCGGCATATTAGTTTGTAAGCCTCTCCGAATGGTTATCAAAGGCAGAGACAGCGAGTGTGTGTGTGTGTCAAGTGGCGCTGACAAATCCGCCAAATACGACGCTAAACCGTTTCGCCAATCCCGCAGAGGGATTGCAAATTTGCATATTGCAAAAGCAACTCTCAAAGCTAAAGATTAATTATACCCTGCACTCGGCAGAGTCTGTCGGACACAATAAAAAAAGATATCTCTACAAAATGTTTTAGATGGAGGACAAACTTCAGATGGGGCAACAACGATTCATGGCCCTTCCGACAGCCTTACCTTTGAGCCTATTATGTCTACGAAATTATGTTAACTAAACTAATTTAACCAATTGGCATTTATCGTCATCAACTTTAATGTGAAAACACGATTAAAATTAGCAGAATTTCTTTTTCTGCGAATTATTTTAACTACAAAATGATAAAAATGCAACAAATTGATACAATTTCTTCCGCAAACATCATAGAAAAAAGGTCAAAACTCTGCTAATTGAATAGTAGTCGCTACCCAGTATTCCTAGGGTATCCTCTGGTCTGCGAATTGCCCTACTGTTCTCGTACTTGGGCAACTTGCAGCCTAGTTGCGGGCAGATCAACCATTTAAGTGGGAGTTTTACAGCCTGCTGTCAGTCGTCAGACGTAAGTACCGGGAATCCATCCTCGTGTGGGGCATGTCCCCAATCGACAGAGTGCCGGTGGTTGGTTCTGACACCTGACAAATCACAAACGCAAGCAGTTTACAATTGATGTTAAATCAAAGAAATGAACACGCCACACACACACACACACACACATGTGTCAAGCACTATCTATGTGTGTGTGTGTGTGTGTGTGTCAGCCACACTCAAAGAGCGGCTACGTGACAATTTCTGTCATTCCGCCTGGAGGCGTATCCGTTTCCGTTTGACTTTCAGTGCACCGTGGCAGCAGCAGCAGCAGCAGCAGCAGCGACGTTTATTTTTTGTTTTTGTTTTTGTTTAACTTAATTTTTTGGCACCGCTCTAATGCTCGACTGGCTTTTGGCAGTGTTTGTGCCCCTGATTGTTGTTTATGTGAGAGGAGCGTGTGTGTGTGTGTGTGTGTGTGCCCCACACACAGCAAAACAATATGCAAATGCCAGGATGCCAGGATGCCAGGAAACGGACAAAAGGATTGAGCTCTCGGGCTGACAGCCGTTTGACAGAAGGTAAGCGCCCAACCTTTGGCCCTAGCTTAAGTGCCACACCGAGCGCTTCATACACCTGGCTGGCCATGCGACAACGACACCTGGGGAATACCTAAAAAGAGTTGCCGCAGCAACTGTCATGCTTTAATCAACTGTCAACGACAAACAAACCACTAAATAAGCATTTTGTGTGTGGAATCAAACCAACACTCAATCAACATTGGCAAAAATGGCAAAGAAAATATGAAATTTATTCATTTTAAATATGAAATTTGTTTGTTTTATAACATCAAAATTAACCTCTAGGCGCAAGTACATTTGATGTACATATGTACATTCATACATATCTAATACATATTATGTACACACAAAAGAACAAGAAACTGTCCCCACAACTGCACATTTTATTTGTATGTTTTCTTTTCCTTTGGCCAAAGCCAATCGCTGAAGACCCATTGAAAGTTTTTGAGCACAAAACACGAGCTCCCTCTCCAAAGCGAAACTTACTGTCGAGGGTGCTCCACCGGCGGAAGTTGCGGGTGGAAGTGGAACTTTTGCAAAGACCTTCCTCCAGCCACCTACACACAATGCCATCGCCCCATAAATGCATAGAAATTGAGTGCAGAAATTAGAGGAAATCCACAAATCGAAGTAAAAGTTTTTCTCCCCTTCGCTTGCCCTGCCCTGCCTTTGGGCCAGTTTATTGTTTGCAAATTTCCCAGGGGGGTCCTAGAAAGGCAAAGCCACACTCCATTCCATTCCATTCCATGTGTAGTTCAAATATTTGCGCTGCTGATTACTTTTAATGCTCAAATCGAATGTGGGAAGTAGGCTTGATTCCCGGGCATATCCAAGCCATCAATCAGTTCGAGAGTTTGACCCAAATTCCAAAAAACCAAACCGATATTTGTAGTTCCATCATTGTGGTTTTCCTTTCTTTTTGAATTTCCGGCAACATGTTTCGTGGCGGACCTTCCCTTCCCCTCCTTTTCTGTGCGCGCAGCATGTGGGATTTGATCAACGACCATTGCCGGAGTCTGAGATGGAGTCCTGCGGACTTTGCCTGGCCCGCAGCTCTGCAAGCCTCGGGGACTGGCGATGATTATTGCGATATTCCAACGGTGGACCTGCACCAGAAGCGGGGCACGCACATGCACCATCGTGCCCGTTTTCGGGAAAAGACAATCCGGGAGTATGAGAAACGCTTGCGCCTGTACTCAAGCCCCGTCAAGTTGTTCCGCTACTTTGCCACCATCAAAATGAAGAACCATGCTGGCCGCTGGGAGGTGTACATGACGCCGCAGGACTTTCTGCGCTCCATAACGCCCGGATCGGCCTCACAGCCAGAGCTCCTCGGCCTGGACAAGTACCACAAAGTAACTGAGGAGCGTGCCAAGAAGTATAGCTGCTCGACGCTGGCCACCAACAGCATATTCTACAAGTTCCAAAAGGATGGCCTGCTCACCTTTGGGGACTATCTGTTCCTGGTCATGCTGCTGTCCGTTCCGGAGCGTTACTTTGATATGGCCTTTCGCCTGTTCGACGTCAACGGCGATGGGAATCTGTCCCACGATGATATGAACTTGTATCTCTCGAAAGTCTGCCAGGGGGATGGCCTTTTGAGGAACATGAACATCAATCAATTCTTCTTTGGCCCCAAACTGACACAGAAGCTCAACGTTAATGTGTTCTTGGAGTTCCAGCGAACGCTGACCAGAGAGGTGCTGCTGCTCGAGTTCCAGGCTCTGTGTAAGAGCCACGCGACGGTGCTCAGCGAGGTGGCCTTTGCCAAAGTGGTGCTGGCCTATTCCGCCGCCAGCTCCTCCGAGCAGTCGGCACTGCTGCTCCGCGTGCAGGAGAAGTACAAGGACTCTGATCGCGGCATAACGCTGGATGAGTTTCTGGACTTTTTTACGTTCCTCAAAGACGTGGCCGCCGTGGATGCAGCCCTGACCTTCCACTATCTGAGTGGCGCCAACATTTCGCGGCAGACCCTCAGCCACATTGCCAATGTCGTGGTGGGAGTGCACCTGACCGATCACATCATTGACGTTATTTTCACCATCTTCGATACGGATGATAATGGTGTCCTCAGTCGCAAGGAGTTCTACCAGACGTTGCGGCATCGCATGACGCGCAGCACCCAAAAGAAGCCCGTCCATTTGGCATCCATTATGGGTATTGCCTGCAAGTGTGCCGCCCAGGTGTTGGTGGATCAATATTTAAACTGAAAGCAGCCATAGCCGCAGCCGCAGCCGCAGTTGCAGTAAAAGTCCTTAGCAAGCTCCTTTGAGGGTAGAGGCTTTTAGCGCACAGACAATACAAGCGGCAGATCCAAGAACAAAGACCTTCAGCCGCTACAGCCAGGTAACGTCAATTGACTTAGCCTCGACGGCACACACAACATGCGACAGCAGATGAAGTTGGAGTGGAGAGTGGAGAGTGGAGCAGAGTGTAGAGTGGAGAGTGGAGATGATGTGGAGTTGCTCTGAATGGCGAAAGGAGACACTGCACAAAAGCGCAGCCTGTTTGCCTTCGACTTGAAACGTTTCAACTTCACGAGTTACGAGTTACGCCCCGCCCCGCCTCGTCCCGCCCCACCAAGTTGAACAAGTTGAAAAATGAAGCGAACTTGAAGGATGGAATCCATTTTGCTGTCTCGCCACTTGAGCGGCGTGTGCGAGCAAGGTGATGGGAAAATTCAAATATAAAACAGATTCTTTCAAAGCCGACCCCAAACTCGAACCCGAGTCGACCACGTAGCTTACATGACTTTGAACTTTTATCACCTGCTGCGAATGGGTGTCTGTCTGTGTGTGTGTGTGTGTCACCTAACCAAAACAATTTTAAATACTTGCGGTAGCACGCACCCTGGTAATGGTTTTGCTCCTCGTATCGTCATTGTCCTTCTGGTTCGCTGTGAAACAATAGTGTGTGTGTGCGGCACATCCTTTTTATTGGACCATTTGCAGGAGCGACAATTTGGCGGTCAGAAAAGGCTTTCTAGCCCCCAGATAACTGTAACTGTACTGTCCCAAAACGGTTCAAGGTTTAATATATTTAAGTAATAAGAAAATTACTTTCTCTTTGAATGAAGTTCTGTAGAATGAGATCTGATCTCGCAACGCTCTCTCTGCACAGTTCCCATGTTAATAATAATTTTAAAATTATTATTTTCTGGTTGGTTAAAGGAGTGAGTTTAGAGGCTCATAAACAAGCTGAGTTTACCGCCCCCGGCAACTTTCGCACTCTACTTTACAAGAATCAAACTCATGTTCATGCTTACACACGTGCACCTGGCCGAGCAACGCCTCTCCACTCAGCTGTCTGTGCGGCAAAACTTTGGGGAGCTCGACGCAACGCGTCAGGGAAGTGCGATAAAAATAAACATGCAACTTCAGTCGCACCAAAGTTCGCAGTACGGACGCCCCTTGCGGTTGGTTGGGTGTATGGAAAAGCATAAAAGGCAAACGCAAAGATTGGCAAATTATTAAGAAATGCCACAGACCTAAGATTCGAGCTGTTAAATCTATTAGGCAGGCTAAAGCACGGCTCCAGCAACTGGTAAACCATAAATCAAAAATTATTATTTTTCAATTGTTTGGTCGAAGGTTTCTCAATCAAATGATATTTCCATATGTATCTGTTTCTATGTACAAATCTATCTGTTCGAAATTAGTTCGACCGAGTGTGGTGTGTAATTTGAAAATCTGCCGCAACTGTCAATGGGATTTTCTTATGAATAACTGAAAAGCATTTTGCAATTCTAATAAATACTGACCAGCCAGGCCAGCCAGGCAACCAGGCAAACGCAAAGAGGCTTTTTTGAAAATTCTCACATTTTTTGCCTAAATTACTTTCCACTCTGCCCTGGTGGTTGCCTTTTGAAACTTGAAGCAAGGCCAATCTCTGGACCACAATTTCTGCTGACTTTTCACCAAACAACAAGTAGTGCGCTATGGTTGACATAAGGACTGTTGGAGTGCCCATTAATTAAGAGTTATCTAAGATTAAATTTGTAATGTTCACACTTGAACTGTAGGCACAACAATAATATTTAATGTTCTCGTGCTTACATTAAATATATTTTATTTAATGCCGAAATTAAATTTTCTTTACTTCCACATGTGTGAATTTGCATGAAAACAATATACCCCATGCACCGTTCAAGTAGTGGGTATTTGCAATGGCCTCGCTTTCTCACTCTCCCTCTCTTCTCTCTTTCACTGTTCTTTGCTCGTTTTCTTCTGCCCAAATTGTGTTTGAAATACTCGGTCGAGGCAATAACGGTACAGTTTGACTCTGTAGAGTGCACATATCTCTCTCTCTCTCTCTCTCTCTACTGCCCAGCCCTCTCTCCATCTCTCACTTGCACTTTGTTCTACCCATATGAGTACAGTAAACGCTGTATGTGTGAGATATTCAAATTTATAAATTATGCAATTTTATGGTTTTAAGGCGTAGAATGTGCAAAAATATTATTTTATACACGTTTATGCTCGAGCATGAAAATACACACTTTAGGAAGTGTTCTGCTCCCCCCAGCTGACACTTCTGTAACCACAAATGCAACACCTTCACCTCTTTGAGGCCCCACCTTTGAGCACCTGCACTTTAACATAATTTGCATGAATTCTGACTGCTGCTGGGGCTGCTCCTAATGCTCGGATGCCAAAGGTTGAAGCCTGGCCGCAGCGACACTTATCTGAATTATGAATATGCAGGTGCTTATCGGCCTGGCCATAAATACTTTAGCAGGCAGTGTGAGGGTGCTGATATGTCGTGTCAAAGATTTAAGCAGCTGCAAATTTGAAATATATGAACATCAAACATTCGCAAAGCAGCACTAAATCCGAGAGCGAAAAGTCAAATGCCGCTACTCTGGCCCATAAATAGAGCACTCGGGAGTATTTAAATTAACTGCTGGTTAAATCAGACCTGGAATGAGTGCGACGTGTACTCAAGGAAGCGGATAATTAAGTTTCACGACTTTTGCTCACTTTAAGCCCTTTTCAGGGTCTGTTTGGTGTCGTTGCCATTGCCGACGCTTTAACGTTATATTGAAAAGTTGGCATTTAAAAGGATTAAAAACTTTTTCACATCATTTCCTGCCGATTAAAATGTTCAGCGAGCGAGAGAGAGCGAGCACTGAGCGCGACACTGTGAAGTGCACCTACGGAGCCAGGACTAAGCTTTAACCATTGCCATGGCAGGCAGGCGGACACAAAGGATTCACATGTCTCTGAGCCAAAGTTTTGCATCCAAAGAGACTCTGGCAAAGCTCTAGTCACTTGCAAGTTGTAAGTTACAGCCAGTATTAGCTCAAGTGGCCCGACCAACAACAGATGGAGCAGCCCCTTCCCAGCCCCAGCCCCAGCCCAGACAGCGTTTCTGACTACACGTCGCAGCTCCCCGACGAGTGGGGGCTCGTTTCCACTTTAAAGGCAACTAACTGTCTGGGCCACGCAGAATAAAAAAAAAAAAATGTTTTGCGGCTTGTTTGATTACGTTGCATCAAACGTGCCCAAAATTTCAAACGCTCACATGTCAAACTAATAAAGTTTAAGCGAGACAGAGAAAGCGTTTTGATAACACGAACATTGGAATAACAACAGGCTGCTGCCAGCCCAGCCTCTACTTGGGGCTCCTCTCCATTTACATACACACATACTGGAGCAGTACACCCACTCTCGAAAAGACTGGCAGACGTTTGTTCATTTTAAATGCTGCGACATGAAGCCGGCAAAAAGTTATTTCAACTTTTCTTGCTGCCGCCCTTGTATCAGAATCATTTCTTTTGCTCCTCCTGATGAGGCGCTGTCGCTCCTCTCATGAACTTCTCGTGCATGTGTGTGGGTGTGTGTTACGAGTACAAACGAGCAGTCAGGCAGCCAGCCAGTTGGCATAAGCATAATGATGATGAATGGCCCATCCTGACATATGAAGCGCATTAATACAGTCTGTGCCATCGGCACGGCTACGGCAACGGCAACGGCAACGGCAACCCTTCTATGACAGTTTGCCCGTGAGATTCATATAGATGAATGCCCATATTCTCGTCGCATCTTCTGTCAACGAACTTGGGGGAGGGTACACTCTCAGAATCTGTAATTTTGTTTTTTAATGCAATTTGGAAAAATAATAAAAAAATATACGAATAAAAAGGGTTTTATAAACTTAATGGAACTATGAGTGCTCCTACGGAGTACCTACCCATCATTATTTTATGTAACTTTTATATTTTTTTGTTGTTTTAATAATGAAAGGATTGACACACAAAAGCTTTTGATCCTAAAAATAATTGAATAGTAAAAAACAAGCACTCCCATTTCTAATTAAAAATGCAGCTTTTATATTTTCCTATATTTTCCTTAAGTTCATTTTTGTAGGGGAATTTCAGATGAGTTCTATGAGTTTTTCATTGATTTCCGAAAGTATTTGAATCCCTATTTTGCTTGGGGCTCTGTCCCCAAGTATCCTTTAATACCTGTCCTAATGAGTCTTTCAAGAGCTTATTTTAAATTGATTATCAAACATTTCACTGTGCCATATGCCGTGCATGATTAATGCATTAAAATATTCAATGATAATTATTTAAGCACGTAAAGCTGATTACGTAAGTTAAACAATGGCCAAATCCGCCATAATTTATAATTACTCAACACGCTTATTGACTTGCTTATGCAAATGACTTTGTTTTTGCAGTTAATTATCTCATAAGTTTATAACTGTTTGCATTACCTTAAAACTCAATGGAATAGGCGACAGATATCACAAATGTATGTACAAACGAGCGACCGCATATGCTCTCTTCAAAAGGATATTTTATACAGATGTTTCGGCGAACTGCTAAATATTCCTACTTATTTTTGTACATTTATTAAGCTGTATCCAGCATTCATACAAATAAAAATTACAATTAAATAAGCAGTCAATAGCCCGTTAAATATTGTATTAATATTAATGAAACCAAAAAATTGAATTATTTGTATCCCTATTCGGATGTGTCCGTGCAACTTAAATTCTGATTACAGTCTGAACAATTTTCCCGATTGGAAGGTATTAAAAAAAAGCAAATATACTTTTCATTAAAACTATAATTATAATTGCACACACACCCTACTTGATTATGAAATATAAATCTTTATTTTATTTATACATTTTTTTTATTGGAGAACTCGCGGCATAATTTAAACACGCGGCGAATTCGCGCATTCGCCGAGGCCTTGGC